CGGTCTGTAAGGTGTCCGATAATCGAACAACTGACAAGTTTATCGCTCAAGTGGATTTCATATAGTACATATGGCACTAAAACAAGTTCAATTGTTAAAGGGCCATTAAAATGCTAAAAATAGTTATCTGATTTCTACTAGCAATTTCACCTGTTGACCCCCCTATAAAAATAGAACCTGTTAGCCTGTTAGACGTCAAAACCAAACTGAAGTCAAACCAAATAAAAAAAACCAAAATATATAAAATGCCATTAAGAAAGTTATACAGTGCTTACTCGAAGCAGAAGAAAACTTCTAGAAAAAAAGGACTGTCTCAAAATTAGAAAAGGCAATTCATGTTGATAAAATAATTATTCTAATGAAATTCTCTTTTGTATTGCTATCACTAAGTTTGAAGAAATCATCAAATAATCAAATAATACTATCATGAATAATATATTTTTACAAGTTTTAATATGCGAGCGAGCTGTTCAATGTCTAATGGGTTGGGACTTTCCATTTATAACTTCGCATGAATAATTAAATTGGCCTTATCAGAAGGTAGTTCTATAGGTTATAGATAACTGGGCCGTCTGTGGCGTCTCTATCTAATCTGTCTAATTAAAACGACTCATTCTCATTGAACGCAAGTCAAATAACACGCAAAATAGTGTTATTGGCATGTCGCTTAAGTTGTTTGCACTGCTCGAAAGGTAGCTGACAGATAAAGCAATTAAGATATTTTTGCTTGAGTTCTTATAAATCTTAATAACAATGGGGTTTTCATAAAAACGGAGCTACCATTTTCTAGCCGGTTTTTACCCAACTTTGATAATCAATCAGCCAATCATTGCATCAATCAGGTCAATTATAATTCGATCTACCATAAAACTTTAATTGTAGCATACCAGCTGGCTTTACCCAAACTTTGATGATCAATCAGTGAGTCATTTTATCAATCAGGTCGAATAATCGTAGTATTTACTAGCGGGTTTTACCCAATGTTGGTAATCAATCAGTCATTTTATCAATCGGGTCAATTAAAATCCATTTAAGCGTGCTTTTACCCAAACTTTAATGATCAATCAGTCAGTCATTCAGTCAATCAAATCAATTTAAATCCCAGCCACACTTTAAGAGTAACTTCATGTAATTAAATGTAGTATTTAAATGTTAGTTTTATCCAACATTGATGATCAATCAGTCAGTCAGTCATTTTATCAATCAGGTCAAATAAAAGCCATTTAAGCGTGGTTTTACGCAAGCAGTGAGTCATTATATCAATCACCATTTGGGTAATACCACTCGGGTCGATTGAGTGTAGTAATAACTAGCGGGTTTTAACCAGCTGATTGACAACCAATTAGTCAGTCATTCAGTCAATCAGATCAATTAATATCCCAGCCACCTTTTAAGAGTTACTTCATGCAATTAAACGTAGCATTTACTAGTAAGTTTTACCCAAACTTTGATGATCAATCAGTCAGTCATTCTTACAATCAGGTCAACGTTCTTAATCAATCAGTCAGTCAATCAGGTCAATTAAAATCCCAGCCACCCTTTAAAAGTTACTTCATGCAATTAAATGTAGTATTTACTAGTTAGTTTTACCCAACATTAATGATCAATCAGTCAGTCATCAATCAGGCTATCAATCAGGCCAAAAACATTGTTTTCTAGCGAATATCAGTTTTTGCTAAGATTTATAGCTGACACACCCCAGTTGTTGGCTCGATATATGCACAAATTGCGACTATATCTTTGTCTGTCGCCGTGGAATTGTTTTACCGAGTTGACATTGTTTACGGTGTTTTCTTTGACGCACTGTGCAATTCGGTGGCTTATCGTGACGCCTAGCCAGAGACAATAATATATGAAACTGAATAACTGAAACGCAAGTACTTAGGCAAACAGTGTCAAATATAAAAAGGAAAAAAACTAACAATAAACTTCGTATTGGAGACCGCAGCGTGACGCGCTCGGCTGTCTGAAAAGCGAGAGTGCTCTATACTATATACTATATATAGTACAAATAGATTAGGCTGCTGCTAGTTCATCTCTGACGCGTAATATAAACCCCTCCCGCCCGATGAGTCATGTGCGCGCTGCGCTGATAAGAACATGTGGTACCTGCTGCAATGTTTACAAATGCTAATCAATAGAAATACTTCCGCCCCGCTCAACGCCGGACAATGCCATATCAGCGTCTATACTAATTGGTCCGACTTATCAGCTTTGTACACTGAAAGAATTTATATGTATTTCTATTTATTTAGTATTATTTAATATTTCAAAGGGATTTTCTAAAAAAGTACAAAAAAAAAAGTTTAGAAAGTGTACACTGGAAGAATTATAATATTATTTTGAAAAACTAAAGTAGGAAGGCCAAATGTCTGGGATTTTCTTCCAACTTTACTTGAATATTATCTGGACAGTTTCTATTTCAAACTATTTGGAATATAGTTATATTATTTTCTGAAATTAAACTTTATAATATAAATTTACAGATACTTATGAGAACATTTACTTGATTTAAATCTTTTTTTCTTCCATATTTATCAAGTTGAATTCTTAACTAGAAAGGCCCTTTTTTATGTTCCTCTTACTAAGATAAACTAAATGATTTACATTAAATAATATAAATACATTTATATTAAAATGAGGCGAATGAAATGAGTCAAGGGGCTAGCCTTTGCCCGGGGTCGTAATTGCGCTTATGAACACGCGATTTTTTTCAGTGTTCCGCTTTTGGAATTACTTGGAAAGTGCTAAACTGCGATATGGATGTAAAAACTTGCAATTATTATTTAACGCGCTGTTAAACTAAAACAATTGTTATCATTTATTGCATAATTTGTGTAGGTGAAGCTGGGTTTGCCTCGACTGCTGCTCATACACATTGTACCAAAACTATGGACCCTGATAAGTACATTGAACCGCAGATAATCGTCGGTTATACCGAGAAAACGGGTTTCCAACCGAAAGAGGAACCAAATCTTTGGCTGGACCATGTGGCTATCAATCAAAGTCGCATCAAATGCCAAAAAGAGGGCGTTGACCAGCCAGTTGATAAAAAAGCTGATCCCCTGATCCGCTTGGCTAGCTAACATACATAGATCCGTGATACTTCCGCCAGCTAAAGAAACCTTCGCTCCGACTAAACGCACATGGAATTTGGCAATAGCCAAAAAACTATTACCCAATCTTTAACCAAACAAAACAGAGGAAGAAAAAAGCGTTATGCTTATGTTAATAAATTTAACAATAGGCCAAGTAAGCTTGGTATATGCGAGGCTGCACGACTAGCAGCTGCCCTGCAAAACATGCAGTCTGTGCTTCCTCTTCGCCTTGCTCGCTAACTAGACTAACTTATGGGCTTATGGCCAGATCATTGTGAACTTGTTGGGACTTCAAATTGGAATTTAAAAAATATCGATATATCGATTTGTATCGATTATTGTGTATCTCTATATTATAACTAATAGTCTGAGGCACATAAATACAGACATGTCTCGATCTTCTGCCTGTTACGCACATTTATATAACTTAATTATACCCATTTTTCAATGGCTACAGGGTATTAAAAAACAACGCAGTCATCGCTGGCCTATTGCATTATCACTGGCCCTCAGCAGTTCCCCCCCTCTTTTACCTCTCACACTCTCTCGCTCGCACTCGATCTCAGTCAGACACTTGGACGAACTAACTTACCTGCAGCTAGTCGCAACGTCGACGAGTAAATTTGTTAATTGAAGCAGCGACTGAGGCAGCGCGTCAGCGTCAGCCTGAAGACAGCGACAAAGTCGTCGTCGTCGTTGACGTTGGGGCTATGGCTGTGGCTGTGGCTGTGGCTATTGTTGGACCAGGGTCAAGCATAATTACTAGATGGCTATGCGCCTGGCTTGTTGTCTTCTTATTGTATTAGCTATTTTTAGTGTTTGTTCATAATTAATTTATATTTTGTTGACATTATGCGTATAAAAAAGAATTATGACAATAATTAGTTAGCTTTTGTGTGTTCTTTTTCTGGACGTCCCACTGTGCCAGCTGCCTAGTCAGTCGCCTTGGGAGCCTGTGCTTCGACTATCCGATTATGTGTTTAGCCTTAATTTAACGCCAGTTGTTTTAAAGCTGTTTCATTAGTCATGCAGGCCAGGCATAAAAAACAGACTACGCGTTTATTTCTGGCCAATATGCATGTGTGTATGCAAAGGTTTCGCGATTTTTTTTCTTTTCTTTTCAGTTACTTTAACCCTTGTTGGTTGCTTTGCGACGACGATTTGCATTTGGTTTTGTACAGCTAATGACACTTTTGGAGGCTTATGCACTTTATCGCGAACACGTATGCAGTGAAATGGCATATGAATTTAGGGTTTTAATCTCATTAAAATAAATCTCAAATACAGTTTTTGTTTACTCCGCGAATCGCGGAACGGGTGCGAGTCGGTTGTGTTCGTCCGCTGCTCGTGTTGCGTTTCTTCCTCTTGCTTTTCGTACTAATAATACTAATCACCCTGTGCAGATTAACAGCTTGCATAACAGCGGCATGTTATTTTACTGTTAACAACAGCAAACTGTTACAAATTACTGATTACTTTTTTGTTGCAATTCGTTGACAAATTATTTTCAATTATTGACAAATAAGTTCTTTAATCGTATTTATTTAAACAAGAAAAGCAGTAAGTTACTTAGTTACTTCACATTTCTATTCTTGCGGTAACAATTAACAGCAGAACAAACCCTGAAAGTCGGTTATAATAGAGTTGCCCGCAGTTAAAAAATTTATATTTATTTTAAGCTCTCGAAAGTTGATTTAAAATGCATCTAATACTAAAAATGCTAAGGCAAACTATGTTTATAGAAGGTAAGCATTCTTGGATTTATGTTTAACTCTTTACTCTGGCTGCAGAAGGAGAATATCACGCGAACAGTCGAACAGTTGCACAACTGCTGGCAAGCCTGAACAGCGCAACTGTGCTTATCGATAAACTGTGTACGTCAGCTGCAGCTGTCAGAGGCGATTCACAAAAATTTTCAACAACCGACTTGTTATTGTGCTCGCTGCCCTGTATTTGTTTGGTCCATATAAGAGTAAAGTGAGATAAAACGCATATGTTTAGCATAATTGTTGTATTTAAATGTTGCATGCATATAATGCACTAAGTGTCCCGTTCGTTCAACAAGGCGACAGAGGAGAACACAACAACAGTTGAAAGCCCCAACAAAAAAAAAACCCCCCAACAAGAACGCATAACTATGTCATTTGTCGGCGGCGGGGTGGTGGGCGGTGGCACCGACGTGCACAAATTCGTTGAGGCCCTGCAGGCAGACTTCAAGACGCTCTCACTTGAAACCAAGAAGAAGTACCCGCAAATAAAAGAGGTAAGTGCCTGTGCCAGGGTCAAATGCTGCTGTTTGTTGCCTCATTAAATCCGCTGACGTGTGCATCATTGTGGCAATTTGTCATGCGGTGGCAACTGTGTGCGCAGTGGCTGTTTTGTGGGCTGGTGACGCCAGTGATGGGTTTACAGCGGGCGAGGAGGGGCTGCTCTCTGCACCTGTGTGTGTGCACGACGCAATTATGAAATTGATATCAGACCGGTCAGCGAAAAGCAATCAAATTGATTTTTATGGTCGTTAATAGGTAAACACAATTTCTTTTCGTTGCAGGCATGCGAAGAGGCAATTTCGAAATTATGCACCGCCGGCAGCAGCCAACAAAATTCTGTATACTACACCGTCAATCAGATACTCTATCCGCTGGTCCAGGGCTGCGAAACCAAAGACTTGAAAATTATCAAGGTGAGTCATCATCATAACTCTTGGCGTTCCACCCGTTCAAGTTTCTGTTTTAATTTTCGTTCCTTAAGTTCTGCCTGGGCATGATGCAGCGCCTGATTACACAGCAGGTGGTAGATCAGAAGGGCGCCCTGTATATAACAAACGCCTTGTGGACACTGATGGAGCACAACATTGAGGAGGTCAAGGTGCTGCAGACGGTGACGCTGCTGCTGACCACCAATCTGGTGGTGCATGGTGATACGCTGGCCAAGGCGCTGGTCTTGTGCTTTCGCTTGCATTATACCAAGAATCCAACAATTGTAAACACAGCTGGCGCGACAATACGACAGTTGGTCTCTCTGGTCTTTGAACGCGTTTATTTGGAAAAAGACTCGGTGCACAGTCTGCAGCAACAGCAGCAGCAGCAGCAGTCGGGCACAAGCAGTCCGGATGCCGATGGCAATAGCACACAGGATGGACAAACTTTTGCCATGGACGCCTTTCATCTGTTTCAGGATCTGGTGCAGCTAGTCAATGCCGAACAGCCCTATTGGCTGCTGGGCATGACAGAAATGACGCGCACTTTTGGACTTGAGCTGCTCGAGGCCGTGCTGAGCAATTTTAGCGCAGTATTCCACGAGGTTAGCTTGACATAAATATGGCTATCGACTATAATAATACCGCAATCTCCCGCACAGAATCAAGAGTTCCGCTTGCTGCTGAAGGAACGCGTTTGCGCATTGGTCATAAAACTATTCTCGCCCAATGTCAAGCACCGCCAGCTGCCAGCGCCAAGCAACGGCACAGCTGCAGTGCCCGTGGACAAGCCATATTTTCCTATAAGTATGCGCCTGCTACGCCTGGTGGCCATATTAATACAGAAGTATCATACTATATTGGTTACCGAGTGCGAGATATTTTTGTCGCTAATCATCAAGTTCTTGGACCCGGACAAACCGCACTGGCAGCGCGCCTTGGCTCTTGAGGTCATTCACAAGCTGGTCACACGCTCCACGCTAATTGCCTTCTTCTGCAAGTCGTATGATTTGAAAAATCATGCCACGCATATTGTGCACGACATGATCGCCGCCATGGGCAGCTATGTGCGCTACTCACTGATCAATGCGTCTGCCGTGCTGAGCAACGGCGGACAACAGGCAGTTGGCGCCGCTGGGCAACAGCCCAGCACATTGTCGGCGCTGGCTAGTGGTGGCAACAATCAGTGTGGTTTTATGTTCCGCGGCGCCTATCTCCCACTGGTGGCCACCTTTGCGCCCGGCCTATCCAAGGCTGTTTAGTAAGCAGCATTAGCAGCTCTTTACAGAAAAATACTAACTAGCCTTTATTTTTAGCCTGGAAATGCTGGACAAGCTGGATGCGCCCAACATACCCGATAGCTATGGCATTTCGCTGGCCTATGCCATTTTGCTGGACATGACGCGTTCGATTGGCGGCGTTATACAACGCACGCCGGAGCTGCATCCCTCGCACAACATGGCCGTTATTACCGAGGAGGAGCACAAGCCATTGTGCCTACAACTGATCAATTCCAGCTGGTCTGGCCTGCTCAGCGCATTCATTCCGCTTGTGGAAACGTCCATCGATGAGGGCACCACAGAGAACATTCTGAAGGCCATGCAAAACTACGCAGCCCTTTGCGGCATGCTGGATCAATTGCAGCCGCGCGATGCCTTTATTATGGCCATGTGTCGCGCCTCTTTTCCGCCACACTATGCCATGTCCATATTTGCCAACGCCGCCCAGCTGGACGCAGATCTCAGATGTAAGCGTTGTATCCTTTGTTGAATATGTTTCTCATCTTTATTAGTTGTATACCCATTTTAACTAAATAAAACTATTCCATTGGCAGGTCACACACGCAGCGGCAGTCAGGATCTGAGCAGTCAGTTCATCAACAGCTGCAATGCCGACGGCGGCGACTTTCGGCCACAGATCGTGGCGGTGGGCACGCCACTGCCCAGCGCCTCGTTGCCGCACAGCGTGATGCAGGCCCCAGTGATGCTGACCAACAAGAATTTGCAGTGCATGCGCGCAATTCTGCTGCTGGCCCACAACAATGGCAGCATACTGGGCACCTCGTGGCACATTGTGCTGCAGACATTGCAGCATTTAGTTTGGATACTGGGCCTAAAGCCCTCAACGGGCGGCAGTTTGCAGGCGATGCCCAAGCCCGCCGTGGAAGCCAATGTGGGCATACAGACGGCGGTAATGGCTGACTTGCCGGTGCTGTCCCAAATGATTGGCCAACTTTTCGAATCCAGTCAGTATTTGGATGATGTGGCGCTGCATCATCTGATCGATGCGCTGTGCAAGCTCTCCCACGAGGCCATGGAGCTGGCCTATGCCAACCGGGAGCCCTCGCTGTTCGCTGTGGCCAAGCTAATGGAAACGGGTCTCGTCAATATGCCACGCATCGAGGTGCTCTGGCGGCCGCTCACCAATCATCTGCTCGAGGTCTGCCAGCATCGACACATACGAATGCGCGAGTGGGGCGTGGAGGCCATCACGTATCTGGTCAAGTCGGCGCTGCAGTTCAAGCACAAGCAGCCGCTCAAAGAGAACCTGGTGAGTTGCCCACTCTCTTACCTTGATGATTGATCGCCAATCAGAGAGAATAAACAGCTTCATACTTTTTTTATTATATTTTGCTATAATATATTCTGATTTTTTTATTGCAGGAATTGCAAACCATGCTGCTGAGTCCGCTCTCCGAGCTGTCGACGGTATTACATGCGGATGTGCGTCAGCGCCAATTGGATTGTGTGCTGCAAATCCTCAATACGGCGGGTGAAATTCTGTCCTTTGGCTGGCCTGCCATCATTGAGATAATTGGCGCTGTTAATGAGCATCATGGCGAACCGCTGATCCGCACCGCATTCCAGTGCCTGCAGCTGGTCATTACCGATTTTCTAACCGTTATGCCTTGGCGCTGTCTGCCCCTGTGCATCAGCACAGCGGCCAAGTTTGGCTCACAGACGCAGGAGCTGAACATCTCGCTAACGGCCATTGGGCTCATGGTAAGCTTAATCCAAGAATAAATAAAAATGGATGTTTAATTGATTTGCTTTTGGTTTTACAGTGGAATATCTCGGACTTTTTCAATCAAAATCAGGACAAACTAATGTCCACACAGCTAGAGGATGTGGCCATATTGCCGGACTTTCCTGGCACCCTTAAAATGCCTCAGTTTGACAAGCTGTGGATGTGCCTGTACGCCAAACTGGGCGAGCTGTGTGTGGACCTACGGCCAGCAGTCCGCAAATCCGCCGGGCAAACGTTATTCTCGACAATTGCAGCGCATGGCAGCCTGTTAAATCCACCCACATGGCAGGCACTGGTCTGGCAGGTGCTCTTCCCGCTGCTGGACAATGTGCGCGCGCTCAGCAGCTCCGCAAGCAACGAGAAGGTGGACGCCAGCGGTAACATTCTGATTCACCATTCGCGTAATACCGCCCAAAAGCAATGGGCCGAAACGCAGGTGTTGACCTTATCCGGCGTGTGTCGGGTATTCAACACAAAGCGCGAGCTGCTCCAAATGCTGGGGGATTTCGAGCGCGCCTGGTCGTTAATTCTGGAGTTTATACAGAATGCAGCGCTCAGCAAGAATGGCGAAGTTTCGCTGGCGGCGCTCAAGTCCCTGCAGGAGATTATGTACCACACCAGCACGGAGCGTGGGCTCAAGGATGGCCAAACGGCCCAGCAGCAGGACGAGGAGATCTGGAACGTAAGTTCAATTGCTGAAAAGTTTAACTCTAAAGTCAGTTTAAGAATAAGCTTATTTGTTTTTATTTGTACTCATCTTTTATCAGATTGCCTGGAATATTTGGCTAAGCATTGGCATGGAGAGTACCAAAATGTCGGCGACAACAAGGCTTTTGCCCGGCGTTCCAGGCGGAGATAGCCAAGAGGATTTCTACATTCCCAGTCAGGCATTTCTCACGGCCCTAATACAAATCTTTCCCGCAATTTTCCAGCACATTCAAGTCAGGTGAGTTAATTGGCCCCAACTAATTTGAACGAAGGCAAGAGCTAACTCTCCCTCGCTTACAGATTTAGTGCATCCGATTTTGATAAGTTCTGCACCGTGCTGACCAATGCCGTTTGCATACCCGTGCAAACGGATGCCGTTCCTTACATCATGTCCACGGTGTCGGACACGCTGCTGACGCCGCTGCATGATGGCATACTGGAGTGCATGGAGCTGATACAGAAGGAGGCCATCAGGCCGGACTCGGAGTCGAGCATACGCCAACTCATACCCGCCATTTTTCGCCAGCTGCTGATATTTAGCAAATTCGCGTGCGCCCCGCCCACCTTTCAGCAGAGCGTAGAGCACAACAAGTACGGCAAATCGGGCAATCATTATGCCAACAATGCATCTGTGGAAGTGGTTAGCATGAACTATATACCCTTTGGCGAGAAGTCCATTAGCATTTGCGTGAAACTATACCAAAGCACGGCCACCGAGGATTCGGTAGTGCAGGAGCAGATATTGCACGACATTATCAAGGCGCTGCGCACCCCGCTGGCCATGAAGTACAAGTGTCTATCGTCGAGCACCTGGAAGCTGGCCATTTCCAGCCTGATCAGCGTGCTGCACACTGGACTTAAAGTGGCGCGCACTAAGCCGCAACATTTTGCCAGTCAGTGGGATGATTTGGCCGATACGCTGGACAAGTTTCTGTTTCCAATCAGCGTGTGCACCATTGAGGATCGCGGTCTTGAGGAGATTGTCCTTGATGAGACAATCGATTGCCAGGTGATTGAGCTGCTGCGCGACGAGGTGCTGCCGTATGCCCACGAGTTGCCGCATCAGTTCATAATGCAAATTGTGGTGCTGCTCAACAAGGGCTCCATACACTCCGCATCGGATAGCAACATTTGCTACGAGTCCGACTGGAAGCTGCGCGAAATCTTTGCCAAAACCTGTTTCGAAACGCTGCTGCAGTTCTCTCTGCTGGAGGATCAGGCAACGGCTACGGCATGCAATAATAATCGTCTCAATGCCAATTTACTGACCGCCGGCGGCGCAGGTGCGGTGAATAAGGATTTTGCTGGCCGCCTGGCGGTCACGGCGCTGCTGCATCGCTTTCAGGAGGTACTCAAGCGCTTTAACGATGATGAGCGCCAGAGCGGCAAGTGCCCGTTGCCCAGGTTGGTGTTGCTTTTGCCGTTGCCTCACAGGCAAGCATTTATCTGTAATTAATATACTATTTTTTTTTTAACAGGTTTCGCCTCTCGGAAATATCCTTTGTGCTGAAAGCCATTGCAACACTTGTCGTCTCCATGAAGAAAGCGCCAGCATCCAAAGGTGCGTGCTGCGTAAAACTAATCAATTAGCTAGTTCAATATTTGTTTCGTTTAATTATTCAGTTAATAAGCCCGCCTGGGATTTACTGATTGGCCTGTATCCCTATTTGGTGGACTGCACCACAACCACATCGCCGGAGGTCTCGCGTTCGCTGCGCGAGGCGTTGCTGCAGTACACAGATCTTCTGCAGGCGCCCAGCTACGTCAAGGACAATGCGATACAATCGAATGGACAGCAGTGAGCAAACGTGTGGAGGATAAGCGTGCGGTTAATCGTTTTTAGTTGTTTAAGTCAATGTCCTTTTGAATATATATTAATATAATACATATTTATTTTAACTCTGCATAATTTAGAAAACCGAAAACAAAAAACATGTTATATATGATATATGCTTATGTCCCACTCTCCTTCCCTAGGCCTCTTATATATTTGTAAAAGTATTGTAGTAAAAACTAAGTATATTATTATCCATTTACACAAGTTCACAGTTGCAGCTGTCAAGAGCTTAGCGGCTCGATAAGATAAGCTGCCCCAACAAATCGGTTAACCTACTATGCAGCAGCCTTATCTGACAAATATTTCTTTAGTACCTTGGTGAGACGCTGTTTACTGATATGATATATACAAAAAAAAAAAAAAACTATCAACTATATGATAACTAAACATTGAGCTATGCGTGTAGCGCATTTTAAAGAACCTACCTAGAAAAACAAATAGACTTGCGTGTTATCTGAATCAAATATTAACACTTAATCAGCAACAACTTTGTAGTGACGTTTTTAAATAAAGCAAAATTTACTATCGCATTTTTATTAAATATAATATGACCTTCAACTATGACGTTAACAGATTACACTTATCTCAACTGCAATGTACCAAAAGCTGATAACCCTAAAGAATGTGTGAACATGTACATATATTAAAATAAATCTCTATTATAGTTGTAATACAAAAAAAATGTTGGTAGCTCGATTCTAAGTTCAACACCATAATCGAGGCTCATTGCCACAAATCTGTCGGTTCATTAATCAAACATTTGGTTACATTGAAATATCTCGGTTAAATAAAGTAGTATTTATCGAATTATTTAGCTTTTTGCAATCGACTCTTTAGAACTCTACCAGCACAAAATGCCCAATCTTGCCCAAATCGGACTTCATTTACCAGGGATAGGGATATTTAAAGTTTTTCAAAAATATCAATATATTAGATATTGAAATATCTCGAGTAAATACAGTCCGATTTTGGTATGTTATACCTCTATCAGCTCGTACGGAGCAGGACTTTCGAATTCTGAGAGATTTCCTAAATTGACCAAACTGGCATGGGCTTAGTTACATCAAAATATTTGCATAAATGAGGCGGTTCTGAAATCTCAAAAATTTGGCCGCAATCAATTCTATGGTCCAATATTTGGCCGAGATATTCTAAAATATAATCTCGAAATTGACATCATTCCGGAATTGGTGTTTTGTCAAAAACATCGATGTAGGGATTCATTTATTACCAATAGATAGTAGGGATCCGTA